ACTCACAGTGCTGGATCAGAGGAGGAATTACACACATCAAGAACCCTAAAGTTGAGGTAGTTCATGAGCTTTTAACAGGAATCATCAATATGTGAAATTTTACCTCAATTAGAAGGAAGGTTATTTTTAAGGACTCTTCTTTCTCTCTCACATTCTATAGACCATATCAATGGCATGCATATCAGATGGCATAGTAATTACATTTCCATTTGGGTTAGAATAAGGAGTTTTATCAAATGTTTTTATCTGATTTTTAACATAGGAAACAAATAGAGTTTCATCAAATTGAAAAGTTTCTGCATAGAAAAGGAAAGAATTACTAGAACCAAGAGGCAACATAAAGAATAGGTAGAAATGTTTGCCAGCTATTCAATGGATAAAGATTAATATTTAGAAAAGAATAAAGAGCTCATAAATTTGAACACAAAAAAGTTAATAAATGGGAAAATGAATTGAATGAACAATTTTAAAAAGAAGTTAAAAGGTTAATAAATATGCGAAGAATGCAAAATGGGGATTGTTTGGGGGTGGAACTGGTGAGAAGAGAGAGTACTAAAGAAGATATAAAAGGGGAAGGGTGAAGGAAATTGAAATAACTTATATATATGTAATATATAATTTATATATTGAAAATAGAATAATGAAGCCTGTTAAAAATTATTTAAATGATGTGGGAGGACAGAGAGAGTAATGGGAGAGATACGGTAAAAGTATAGTATATACATCTATGGAAATATTACAGTGAAACCCATTTGCACCAATAACATATAAATTTAAGATAAACAGCCAAAGTCATTTGTGTCTCTTGAAGGTTAGTTGATATGAAAAATTCATAGAGTGAGTATAGGTATTATACTCTAATTAGACTCTAATTGGGAACAGACTACGATAATAACCTTGTCCTGCAAGTTTCCACTCTGGTGAAAAGAAACAAGTGGAAATCCTCTTTATCCCAATGAGTTCCCTAGTTTTTAGTATTGTCACATAGGGTGATTCATAGTACTTGTTAGATTACAGAACAAAAATGTGGTAATGAGAGATAATGTTAGAGCTCTAGGGAGTTTAATACTACAATTAAAACTTTGAAATTTTAGGACATATTTTAGACTTACACAAAAGGAAATGTCTAAGGTGATTTCTCGCAAGGATAAAAATAGAAAAGTATGGAGAGATTGCTTTATCTGTAAGATTTTAAAGTTTTATTTTCATTGAAAATACTGTATTCAGATGTTATGATGTATTAATTAAAAATGAATTCTTGGAATATTTATTTGGGAGTTAAAAAAACAGATTTCATTCAGCTCCCACATTAAAATATTTTAAAAATATCAGAGATCTATTAGGAGTTCCTAAGAAAGCAGGAAAAGTGAGGATTTTTACTTCTCAAAAAAATAAAATAAAAATGTTGAAGAATAGTGAAAAAATATATAACATACATATTATTTTCATATACTATTTGTGAGTAAAATTATATTTATTGTTATATAATCTTTAATACTATATAGAATGAAATGCTTCAAGCTTTTGTCACATGTGAACTTTAATTTGTTTTTAACATTAATGTTAATTTGCGAATTGCTAATGTCTATTCTTTAAGTTGTAAAGGGTAAGAACTTCATAGCAGAATAACCAAATGAAAATTGCTGGTTATAAATGTACAAGGAAGACACAATTTTTGTCAACATTTTGATTATTTTATTAGAATTCACAGCATTCATTAATAATAAATAATACCAGAGAAAACATTGCTTTTATGGTATGAGAGATGAAACAGAAGAGAACATGGTTATAATCTGGTGTGGTAAGGAACAAATGAAAAGGAAACGCATGTAGCTGTAATTAAAAGAGGATTAGGAGAATTTATTTATAGAGTTTAAAGTATTAAATCACTTTATTTGATAACTGTAAGAGCTTAATTTTATATCATGTGTAAATTAATAATTTATATTGTTGACTCCAAATTCTTATCTGTTTTTCTTGGTAACTTAGAAAGTACCAGACTGGCCTTCAGTTCACCTTCTACTAAGCCTCCCTAGTAACTCTCATTACAGGCATGAGTCGCTTATCCAGAAGCATTTTTCTTTTTAAATATATTTTAGAAGTTATGAGTAAGAAAATGGTATGATATTTAAATTTGTGCCTCCATGTTGAATCCAAGACTGGTTTCTACAATAACAAATGACAAAGCAAAGTAGATGTTGAGCTATAAAATCACAAAACGTACATGTCTATAATTCAAAGCATAAAGTTCTGATTAGGTAGTCTAAATACAGGAGATAAAAGAAGACAAATTGAACATATGGAGGTACTGAGAAGGTTAAGATTGAGAAAAAAATAGAGATTGAAAGTATCATGTAGTTATGATTTATATTGTTTTTGTGTGTGCAAAATAAGGACATTGGTAATCATTGTTTAAAAGGTATAATTTGCATTATAGTTAAGGACAGAACTTAATATACAATTGAATAGGAGACAAGAAATAAGGTGATATACGTGATATTAATTGGCCTAAGTATCCATATCATTCTTAGTATTTCTTTCAAGCTGTGCCTCTACAATAATCACAAGAGCCTGATGGAAATTTACATCAAAAGTTTATAGAGAAGAGTTAATAACAATACAATCCTATCAACTGAGGAAAAATATTGACACATACACTAAAGTGAAATGAAGTAAAACCATTCAAAAATAAAAAATATAAAAAAATGAAATAGTACCATTCAAAAATTACTACAGTCAATGACTTAGGTATATCAAACAATTTCTCTATGATTTCAGTTCACCATGTTCTTTCTAGTGCTTTCTTCATGCAACTTGAAGATCTTTATTATGAGAAGGAAACACATGTGGTTATAATTAAAACATGAGTAAAGTATGGAGAGATATGATGGAATCACAAAGCCATTTAAAGATGGAAAAACAAGGAGAATGAAGACAGGGTAAGGAACTAAACCCAGAATTGATGATATATTATGTGAACTGCTCCATGCTTCAGAACATGCACCTTTCTTTTCATTTCACAGATTTGAAGGCAAACTTACAAAAATCCTATAATAATAGTTTATGCCTGTTAGAAGAGAGAGATGATTTTGAAAATGGAGCTCAAGTTGTTGGAGTGGCTCAAGAAATAGAGCCTCTTACTAGCAAGTGTGAGACCCTGAGTTCAAACCCCAGTATCGCCAAAATAAGAAAAGACAATAGAACTCAATGATGTTTAAATGTTGATGCTGGGTTAAAAAAGAAGTATCCTTACCTCTCTGGGCATATCATAATAGACAGGGATAGGGAAAAACATGATATAATTTAGAATTGTCTGTGCTTGTTACCTTAATGTAACTTTTTTGTTAAGACTGTAAAGCTTAGAGGGATCAGAAAGAACACAACCATGAATAACATATAGAAGTGACAAAAAGTGAAACAGAAATAACCTGTGTCTAGTAGCCTAACGAACTAAAGAAATGAATTTTTAAAAAATCTAGTAGATGTTACCACCAAGTGGAGAATAGTGGGAGCTAAGGTCCTCAGGGATGCCTGGAAGAGCCACTGAGGGGTCAGTTACCTCCTATGAACACTTAGAATTTCAGGCTCCTGTTTTCAATTAGCACCAGCAGAGGCTTAATTGGATAGGGGAGAGAAAATCAAATTTACTGCTTGGGAGTCCCTTTTGCTGTTCCTCCAAGACACTGAATATTTTTTTACCAAAATGTGGAATGAATTTCTGTGTATGAGGGTTATCTGTAATTATTCAGAAAACAATTTAAAAATTTAATTATTACATATGAATAAATGACCCAAATGAATGCAGTAATAAAAGATTGCCTCTTCTGAATCTGAGATTTCATAAAGTAGGTGAGAAAAGGATGACTTTATTTTAATAAGGAAAAATGAGTAGAGAATTATCAGGTAATAGATGGGGTAGCATAGCTCCAAGAGAGTAGAAGAAAGATCCAAGTACATGCTTGTAATCCCAGCAACTTCAGAGGCAGAGGCAGAAGGATGTCACTTTAGGCAGGACTGAGAAAAGCTAATGAGACCCTATCTGGGAAAAAAAATACTAACTACATGACAAGGGTGTGTGCAAGTGCTAGAGATCTTGCCTAACATGAATAAGGCTCTGGGGCAAATCTCCAATATGAAACAAAAAGAAGAGTGGAACAAGAAGTATCATGCAAATATACATCAGAAATAGATAATGCATCCATTTCTGTTCATTATTATCATTATTCTGCAAAGTATTGTTATGACCTTGTAGACAGAAATTATCTCGTTACTCTTCCAATGTTTCCATATCCTCTAATTCAGTTCTACATGCTTAGTAAACATCAGGATTACATTTTGTATGCTTTAGACAGTTTATTAGAGATCATACTTTAGAATTGTTTACCAACACAATTAATTAAGACAAATATATACAACACAGAGACTACCAAGGGACATTGAACAAGTGTAATTATTCCTTGATATAAAAGTAAATGAATCCTGCCTAAAAAAGCCATGTTCATATATATATGAACAATACATGAATCAAATGTATTTAAAGAATATTCATAATATTTAGAAGAACTATAACTTGCTATGAGTGGATGGATGGACTCTGGGGTATCACAGAGATAGGATGTCCTCCATGTGTCTGAATCTGTGAATCCGTCCTGACACTGACACCTTTCTTCCAAATAATCAAGTACTAGCAGTAATCTGTGTCTCATAGACATTGAAGGGTGTCTGGCCTGTTGTGGTAACAATCATCTAGAAATTGTAAATGTCTTTTTATTTCTTTTTCAATATTAACGACTGAACCAGACACACACATTTGCAGGTGTTCTCCCACTTGAGCTAGTCCTGAGTCCTTTTTGCTTTAAGTTTGTTTTACAAAAAGGGTCTCATGCTAACTTTTCCTACTGGCATAAAGCCTGTATACTTTGTCTCTGACTCTTGAGTTGTAGCTCGTATAAGAGGCATGAACCACCAGATCCAATTCACAAACTATAATTTATTTTTTGTTAAAACACAATATTCTTTTTCACAAGCAACTTATTTAGGGCAACCTTGACATCCTTATTCCTTAAGCTATAAATCAAGGGGTTCAGCATAGGTATAATAATGGTATAAAACACAGAGGACACTTTTCCTTGATCCATGGAATTTACAGATGAAGGCTGCAGGTACATGAATGTTGTAGAACCATAGAAGATAGCAACAGCAGCAATGTGGGAGCTGCAGGTGCTGAAGGCTTTGGACCTGCCCTCATTGGAGCGAATGCAGAGGATGCTGACAATGACAAAGATGTAAGAGCTAAAGATGATCGGACTTGGGATAATGATATTAAATGCACAGAAACACAGAGCTAGTACTTCATTGATGAAAGTACTAGAGCAGGATAGCTCCAATACTGGATATAGATCACAGAAGTAATGGTTTATTATATCAGTTTTACAGAAACTCAGCCTTAGCATGCAGACTGTGTGGGCTGTGGCACCAATGAAACCCATGCCGTACACCCCAATCACCATCCAGGAACAGACTTGAGAGGACATGGTGACATTGTAAAGCAAGGGTTTACTGATGGCAACATAGCGATCGTATGCCATTGCAGCTAACATGTGACTCTCTGCAATAATAAATACACAGAAGAAAAAAAATTGAGATATGCATTCAAGGTAGGAGATGATGTTTTTCTCTGTCACAAAGTTCACCAGCATTTTGGGGGTAATGACAGTGGACTGGCACAAGTCAATGAAGGACATATTGGAGAGGAAAAAGTACATAGGTGTGTGTAGGTGAGAACTGAACCCAATCAGGATGATCATGCCCAGGTTCCCCACCACTGTCACCATATAGACTCCAAGGAAAAGGGAAAAAAGGGGCAGCTGGAGCTTGGGTTTCTCTGTTAATCCAGCAAGGATAAACTTAGTAACAGAGGAATAATTTCCTTCTGCTTCTACCATTTTATCCGGGAATTCTGTGTAGGAAGAGAAGACAAATTTTGAAACAGGATTTAGGTCTTTTCAGCCAGGTATCTCCAGTTCTCTGATTACCTCATCTATGTTATTCATAATCAATGGCCTTGGAATCCTTTAAGAATTGCCCATTTAAGGAAATATCACATACAGCTATTCTTTCTGTGGCCTGTGCTATTAGCATTTAGTCCCTAATACTTAGAGAAATCTTTTGATAATATTAGATTCAGTGTTCCAAGGATTTCCCTTGCCTTACTGCTAATATTCTGTCCTCTTTAATGAAAATGTATTTTTTAAATTTTATTTTATTGTTATTACATATATTTACATGTGTATACAGTACTTGGGCTACCTCCCTCCTCCCCCCACTATCTATGGCCAGAACCTGTTCTGCCCTTTTGTTCTCTAATTTTGTTGAAGAAAAAACAAAAGATAATAAGAAAAATGTGGCATTTTTGTTATTCTGAAATGAAGATAGGTATTCATGGAGATCCCTTGTGTTGTTTTCATGCATATGCGTATTACAACTCAAATTGGATCATCTCTACCAGATCTCTTCATTACTTCCTAGGAAGTAGTGAAAAATGCATTTTAATGATAAGATAGCAACATAATCCACAAACACCCATAGCTAATACAACATGTAGTGGTGAAGGACTGCAAGAGTTCCATCTAACACAATAAATTAGAAAACATGTCTACTCTCTATATAGAAATTCAACTTTATACTAACATTTTACTTAGGGCAGAGTCTAGAAAACGATATTAAAAATCATCTAGACTGAAAATCAAGAACGAAAAGTATCTATTTTTAAATAACATGATCTTGCATGTACAAATTCTAAGGAATGCATGTATTTTTAATTATATCTAATTAAAACTTAACCTAGGTGTTAAAAACTCAATTGTATTTTCACACTACCGTAAATAATAAAAAAATCTATGTACACACATTAAGAAATAATTAGGAATTAATTAAATGAGAAAAACATTAAGCTAAAGGACATAAAACTCTAAAAGATTTTTGAATATAATTACAGTCTTATACGAAGGCAAGACATTAACTGCTCATGAATCAAAAGGTTCAACATTGTACAAAGGGCAACATTTCTAAAGTGGATCTACAAGTTCTGTTTCTTCCATATAAATCCCAGATCTCTTATTTGCAGATATTGTCATGCTAATCATTAAATATCTCTGAAAATGCAAAGAATCCAGAGTAAACAAATCAAACTTAAAGGAATAAAGTTGGAGAACTCAGATCTCCCCATGTGAAAACTTATCACAACCTCACTGTAGTCAAAGCAATGTGCCATTTTCATGAGAAGAGATATGTTGATCTAGGATTTGTTAATAGAATTAAGGATCCTGAATAAACTATCATGTATGGTGAGGTGAAATGTTAGAAATTTTCACAACAATTACATAAGGAAAATAACTTTTCAATGAATGCTATTGCGATGAGTAGATAGCTACATCATAAAGAGTTAATTTGATCGTATATGTCACCTTTTACACAAAAAATTAAGCAAAATGGGTCACAATTTTAGGAAACACAAGACTAATCCCTCTTTTCCTTTTTAGGATTTGGTTATGGTTTCATTGATATGATGTCAAAAACAGATATTGATATGATGTCAAAAACAGAGACTTTATGTTTATGTTATTTTGTAATATATATGTATATATAATATATATATGTATATATGTGTAATATATATTCTATATTCTATATGATATATAGAATATATAATATATATCTTATTATTATTTATATTATATATTCTATATAAAATATATTACATATATATTACATATATGTATATATATTACAAAATAACAATTAAAAGGACAAATAACCAAATGATAAATCATCAAAGAGCCTGAATAAATATTCTGCACTAAAGATATGTAGATCATCATTAGTTAGTTGTTAAAGAAATTCAAGGCATATCTACAAATAACTTTCTATTCATTAAAGAAATGCAGTAATAATAATTAAAAGTTTTTAGGAAGGTTCTAATCAAAAATATAAAAACAAGAATTGGGCAAGAGTATAAGAAATTAGATTCTTCATAAATTTCTGTTGGGATTGTAAAATGCTACAGACTCTTAGGAAAACACTTTTGGCTATGAACATATGAAAATATGAAACAGAAATATTTCAAATTTGAAAGAATGACAAAACTACTGATTACATACACACAAAATTTGATAAATTTGTGTATGCAAACACTTATTCAGAAATATTCATAGCAATGTTACTTATAATAAGCAAATGTTACTTATAATGAGCAAAGAGAAGAAATCATTCAAATATCCATTCAGTGATGAATGGATAAACTAGTTATAGTACATTCTTATAATGGAGCATTACTCTGCAATGAAAAGGAATGAAGTAGTAAAACATGACCCATCTTTAATGAACCCAGAACACATGAGGTGAAAGATACTATACACAAAAGACTACACATTGTAGGGCCTCATTTATAGGAAGGGTCCAGGATAGACAAATTCATACGAACAGGAAGTAAGAAGCTCAGTGTTTGCAGTGTCTGTGGGAAGAGAGGGACAAGGATTGAGTGCTCATGGATTTGTGGGTACATTAGGGAGATGATGAAAATCCATGAATATGCAAAAACTGACAGATTTGGACCTTGAAAATGGCGAGTTTTATAATATTTTTATTTCATTTCCATAAATGTATTATAAACATGAAAAATATTACATCACAACTTTCTACTTTGCTGCCACCTAGAAGCCTTTCCCATCTAGGCAATGCTCTGTGAATACCTCTGTATTTATGGCATTTATGGCATTTAAATTTTTCTCCTTAATGTGGAATTTCTCTTTCTTCCACAAAGAAAAAAATTATTTGATGTACATACAAATGACTTTTTTATTATTGTCTTTTTCTCTACAATAGATAAATAAGGAAAATAAAAGACTTAAGTATATATGTATATATATATATACATATATATATGGTCTCTCAAAAAGTTGCATTCAAAGGAAGACATACACTCAACTTAAAATGTTCTTTGTGTATCGTTTAGAGGAAAAAGAAAAGAAGAGGAACAAAAGTAAATTCTAATATAATTAGGAAGGACTAAGCCACATTCTATTTGGAAAGATTATGAAAAATTTCGCCAGAAATTATAAGACAGTCACCTGCTACATTAATTCTTGACCCTTCCTTTCTTCTAACTCTCCAGGTGGACATTTTTTGCAGATGACAACCCAATTCTCACCCCATTCCATAGTTTACTACAAAAGTTTAAGAATGTCTAGAAGAGTCAGGAACCAGTGGTTCATGTCTATAATTCTACCTACTCAGGAAGCAAAGATCAGGTGGATCATGACTTGAGGTTAGTACAGGCAACTACTTCTCAAGACCCTATGTCAAAAATTCCCAACACAAAAACAGGGCTGTAAGAGTGGCTCAAGTAGTAGAGCACCTGCCTAGCAAACATGAGGCCCTGAGTTCAACCCCCAGTACTTCCAGAAAATATGCATAGAGGATAAAATTTTAACTCATGGTGAACCCAAACTGTGGCTGGCTTTTAAACTCAGAACTGGTAGTTTACTTTTTATCACTTACAAAATCCCAGTAATTTACTTATTGTATTTCCTAATTTTACTTCTATTATTGAAATCAGTTTTTCATAGTGCTATGGTTTAAACCTGTTTCTAAAGTCCATATATTGTAATCTTAATGCTCAATGCAAAAGTACTGAGGTGAGACCTTTAAGACAAGAAAAGAACAAGAAGCAATGGATTAATCGTGTTTTAAGACAGGGTAAGATAACAGGTGTGGCTTCCTAGTGTAAGGATGTGTTTTGTTCCTTCAACTTTCTCATTATTGTGCTTTCTCTTCCTTCAGTTTTCCACCATGGCATTATGTAAAACAGAAGGAGTATGCTACATGCATCCCTGTGATATAGCGATTCCCAGTTTCAAAAACCTAGAGTCAAATGATTTTCTGATTATCACACTTTATGGGTCTGTGGTACTGTGTAACAAGAGCATAAAACAGATTATGAAACACAGTCTTTCAAATCTCTAATTTTTTACTGGTCATCTGACACTGTTCTATTCTTTGCCTCACATACAGCTGTAGAAGTAACACTGCTCTGCATCACAGAAGCTCCATTTCTATTGAACAAACATTGTCACTTTGACAGTAGGTGTGGGGCTTGGACTCATTCCATGTGCCCAAAACCCCCAAAAGGTGATACAGACAAAGATCTTTAATTACTACATCTTGGTCTTCATCTACTTTATTATCACCACTGGTATGTTTAAATGTCTTTGAAATTCATGGAGAAATTGCAAACAACTTGCCTTGCATCAGTGGTCTGATTCATCATAGATCTGAGTGGATCATAAAAATAATGGGAAAACAGTTTGAAGGAAAAATGTTTTGTTCATTTATTCCTTAACCATTAATTGAGACAGAATTTACATGCTAAGAAACACGCATATTTAATAAACAATTTGACCAATTTGAAATATGCAAAAAATCATTACAGCAGCACTATTGTTAAGATGACTCTGATATTTATCACTTCCCAAAGGTTTCTTATACACATATGTGTGTGTGTGTGTGTGTGTGTGTGTGTGTGTGTGTGTGTGTGTTTGTGTTTTGGCGCTAAAATTACTTCATAAGTACCACCATCTTAAATTTTTGAAGTACACAATACTGCATTGCTGACTAATGACTGGGTAGAGCATCTTTAAACCCTATTTGTCTAACAAAAGGAAGCCCATTGAACATGTATTCCCTTCTCCCCTACCTCCCAAATGCTGGTACCTATTAGTGTAGTCTCTGCCTCAGGGTCTCTGTTATAGATGTGACATACAAATGGACTTCTATTCCTTTTTTGTGACTGACTTATTTCACTTAGCATAAAGGGTGGCAGATTCACACATGTTGTTTCAAATGATAACATTTCTTTCTGGGAGTTAAACAGCTTCGAGTTCTTGGT